TGGTTACGCTACGTACATACGTGTATGTGTACTTATATTTTTCTATCAGCATCTGCATGTAATCGGGATCTTTAGCTTCTTCCCAAATTAGGCAAGAACTTTGGTAGTAACTTACTTTTCCAGGCCCTACCCTCACACATGGATGATCATAGCTTTAGTTCTAAATTATCGTCTGTTCTCTTCAAACTGTGCAACAACGTTTACACATACACTTAACTCGTAACTCTTGTGTTTTGCTGTTTTCTTTGCTTACACTGTTCCTAATACCACTCATCTTTATCTTTCATGGATTTATTTTTCACCTCGCTGGAGTATGTTCTCCAAGAATTCTTTTCGAAAGCATGGGTAATATCAATTCTAAGACCTTCAATGTCTGAAATGCCTATTTTTCCTTTCCAGAGGGTCCATTTTGCTTTTCAGCTCCTTACTGAGCTTTTTAAAACACTTTTTAATGATCGTATTTTTAAATTTTCTAGATCTCTAAATTTTGTGTTGGATAACATATGCCTTCAAAATCTGTGAATATATTAATTACAGTGTTACCTTAATGTCTTCTGCTATTCAGTTCGGGCCTTCCCATCACCACTTCAGCCAAATTCAGGCCATTTTCATCTGTTTTGTTGATTGCAGTTCTGAGTGGGATTTATTTAGGAAAGAAAGGCTGCAGTTCTTCCAGTTGAAGGTGCTGTCTTCCCACCCCCTCCCTGGGAAATATTGGGGAAACTGCTCAGTCACCCCCAGTCCTCAGCTGTAGGTCCTGTCTTCCTGGCCCCTTCATTTTACATCCAGATGAAACAGTTCTAGGATGTTGGAGCTGCAAGGACCTGAAGCTCCAGGAGCCCCGCCCCTCATTTCCTACCTGAGACTGAAGCCCAGGGAAAGGGCAAGAGCCTCCCTCCAGCGGCTCCAACACCTGCAGCACATCCAGTCCTCATGTCCATCAGTCGCCCCTCTGAAATGCTGCATGACACAGGGTATGTGCAGCAACGATGGGCTGTGGGGACAGGCCACCTTCCTAGGCACTGTCTAGAGGTGCCTGCCTGAAGAAATGTGGACTCCTGCCTGTCCCCGACAGCTCTTGCTGTGGCACATGTTGCCAGCGACACACTGGCAGCTCCCACATCTGTATCTGTTGCCCTCTCTTTTCTTCTTAGTGTCTGACTTTAGTCTCCAGATGCTTATTTGGAGTCCCACAGAGGTGTCTGATGGGTTCTGAAGGCTGTGTCAAAAGCTGAGCCCCCCAAACCCTTGCACACCCCCACCTTATAGCCCTCGAGTTTGCTTGTTCCCTCTGCCTGGAATGCGCTTCCCCTGGGTCACATGGCACCTCCCTCCCGTCACTTACTCACTGATCAAATGTCACCTCCTGAGAGATGCCCCCCTTCCCTATCCAAAATGACATTAACTTCTGCCAGTGACCCTCTAACCATTACCTTGTTCTTCATAGTATCTGGGTCACATGGCACCTCCCTCCCGTCACTTACTCACTGATCAAATGTCACCTCCTGAGAGTTGCCCCCCTTCCCTATCCAAAATGACATTAACTTCTGCCAGTGACCCTCTAACCATTACCTTGTTCTTCATAGTATGTATGTATCTCCACCTCCAATTCTATTAGCCATTCGTTTATCTGTCTCTCTACTAGATTACAAGTCCTGTGAGAGCAAGGATTTTGTTTGTCCCATTCACCTTGCATCTACGGGGACTAGCGCACTGCCTGGCACATAGTAGGCCCTCAGACATTTCTTAAATGATGAACAAAATTGGCAGACTTCTCATTTATTTATTCACTCAAGTACTGTTCGGGCACTTTTTGTGCCAGGCTCCAAGTGGCCAGATGACTCACACAGACCAGATCCCTGCCCCTAAGAGCTAATAGTCCAGCTGGGGACAGTTAAATGGCCAGTGAGAAGAGTGTACCGGGAAAGGCTGGGGTCAGAGGAGCATCCTGGGGGCTCGGGCAGCAGAATGCTGAGTCAGAGTCAGATCCTCTCCTTGGGGCTTGGGGAGAAGGGGCAGAGGTAGAGGAAGGAGTCCCAGGCCAAGAGGGTGGCCTCTAGGAGGCCCAGAGTGGGAGAAAGGACCCCTGGAGAGGAAGGCAGGCTCATAGCAGACTGTCCGATAGGGCTCTTTAGTGCCAAGCCCTGCTCGATGGGCATTACATATATTAACTCAAAACAACCCTGACTGTCCCCATTTTAGGAAACGGAGGCACAGAGAAGTGAGCTTGCCCGGGGTCACACCCTAGGAATAGAGAGCCAGACTCAGCCCAGTGGTCTGGCTCCAAAACCTGTAACCACCCACTCCACCACCTCCAGGGAGAAGGAGAAGTTGGTCTGGTGGAGAACAGAGTGAGCTGGGAATAGGAAGGGGGCTGATGAGTGGGCGGGGGCTTGGGGCTGCTGCAGGCATAGGCTTCATGCTCCCAGGGGGCGGGAGGGGGTCCAGCCTGCACTGCTAAAGAGAGACCCCCTCCCCCAGCTGTGGCTGTGATCTCTGGAAACAGACACAGGGGTGAGCACTTTAGCTCAGCATGGGTGGGAGCGGTGAGGGGGAGGGATGGGCTGGGGGAAGAGCCTTGGCTGAGTGGTCCTGCCCGGCTGCCTCTGCTTCCTACCCCAGCTCCCCCTCCCACCAGCCCTGTGACACCCCCAGTCCTTCCCCAAGGCTGGCCTGGTATCTGTCCACACAGGGCAGAGGAGCCCTTCCTGCCCCAGGATGGCCTCTTTGGGGTCTCCTCCAGGCAAACATGCCCTCCTCCCAGGTGGCAGCCAGGTGGAGGCGTTGCTTCCTTTGCGTAGAGGAGGAGATGGAGGCTCAGGGAGTCGGGTAGCTTCCCAAAGCATCACAGGCTGTGAGGGCTGCAGCAAGTCTGGAGACTCCCCAAGGGATTTTGCAACAGAACTGACCACTGACTTTATGAAGCTTGTCTGTAGATAGAGAATTTAGGCCCAGTGAGCACTACAGGTTGGAATCGGGGGAGGAGGGTTTGGTGGGTCCACAGATGCGTCAGTTGGAACCTCACGCTGAAGCAGCAGCATGGGGTCTGCAGGCTGTGGGGGCTCCAGGGTGGACGATGACAGCCCCTGAGTGGTCTCATCCCACCCCAGTTCTGGACACAGCCGGGCAGGAGGAGTTCAGCGCCATGCGGGAGCAGTACATGCGCACGGGGGATGGCTTCCTCATCGTCTTCTCCGTCACCGACAAGGCCAGCTTCGAGCACGTGGACCGCTTCCACCAGCTCATCCTGCGTGTCAAGGACAGGTGAGGGTGCCGGGCAGGGCCTCGTCCCTGGCTCAGAGGGTCTCTGTCTGTCCCCGATTCCTGTAGATTTTCAGGTGAAAGCCGGGCACCAGGGCAGAGCTGAATCCTCCCCTCCCCTCAGGTGACCGCTTCCACCAGCTCATCCTGCGTGTCAAGGACAGGTGAGGGTGCCGGGCAGGGCCTCGCCCCTGGCTCAGAGGGTCTCTGTCTGTCCCCGATTCCTGTAGATTTTCAGGTGAAAGCCGGGCACCGGGGCAGAGCTGAATCCTCCCCTCCCCACAGGGCTCCCTCTGGTCCCTCCACCACCTACCCTAGTTCTCCACGCAGCCAAACTGCTCCCAAGGCTTCAAGGGTCCACTCCCTCCCATCCCTCCTAAACCATCTCCTCAATCAAGGAATCATCAGCAACATCTTCGTTTTTTGAATCCAATTTAATCAAATTATATTATGTTCAGAGAAAAAATGAATTTTCTCTCCAGTATATATTGTAATTGGATAAATTGCATTTGACAGTAAGATTGATATGCTCCTAATTAAAGGCTCATTTTTCTCTTAGCATTATGTGAAGTAATTAAGTAATTTGGAGTCTGTTTTAAGCCCAACTGGTTTTGTTAGTTAATTGGATCTCAAAGAGGCAATGTAAAGAAAAGAAAAGAACAAACTAATAGGAAAACAGCAGGCTTTGAACAAATCCCAGCAAACATGAAAAAATCCATTGAACATTTATTCCAAAGGCAAAGTGTTAATAACTTTACCAGGTAAGGGAAGACACACACAGACACGTGAGGGCCCCAATAGCTTAATGTGGGGTAAGCCCCTAACATGTATGAATCTCAAAAGAGAAAACATAAATGACTCAGATGTGGGAAAATATCCAACTTTCTTGCTAATCAAATAAATACAAGGAAAAAGTGCCATTTTTTACCTGTCGAATTATAATTTTTTTAATGAAAATACCCAGTGCTATCAAAGATTCTGTGAGATTGACATTTCATCACTTTTGGGTGGCAATTTGGCCACGCATGTCAATAAGAATCTTTCAGGCAGACACGCCTCTCAACCCTGCACTTCCTCTCCTGGGAGCCATCCTAATTTTGCAGCTGCCATTTATCGAGAGCCAGCCATGTGCCAGACCCTGTCCTGGTGCTCTTCATGAGTTGTTGCTGATGCCGACAGCTGCCCTGCCTGGCCACTACATTAGAATGACCGAGAGATGGCCACCAGGTCTGGGGAGCCAACCCTGGGGCCAGAAGCTGCTGGGGTCTCCCCACTGGCCTTGCAACAGGCCTGAGGCTTCAAACCAAGGCAGCCAGCAGACCCCAGGCCCTTTCCCCTAAGCCCTTGCCCCTGTCTGGAAGAGAGGAGGGACGGGTCTCTGCAGCACCAGGCCCCTGGGGAGGCGCTGCGGGCTGTGCGCTGCCTGAGGTGTGGGGGTGGTGAGACCTCACAGAGCTGCTGTTCCTTTATTTCCCAGGGAGTCATTCCCGATGATCCTCGTGGCCAACAAGGTAGATCTGATGCACTTGAGGAAAATCACCAGGGAGCAAGGAAGAGAAATGGCAACCAAACACAATGTAGGTGTGTGTGTGTGTGTNATGCCCCCCTTCCCTATCCAAAATGACATTAACTTCTGCCAGTGACCCTCTAACCATTACCTTGTTCTTCATAGTATGTATGTATCTCCACCTCCAATTCTATTAGCCATTCGTTTATCTGTCTCTCTACTAGATTACAAGTCCTGTGAGAGCAAGGATTTTGTTTGTCCCATTCACCTTGCATCTACGGGGACTAGCGCACTGCCTGGCACATAGTAGGCCCTCAGACATTTCTTAAATGATGAACAAAATTGGCAGACTTCTCATTTATTTATTCACTCAAGTACTGTTCGGGCACTTTTTGTGCCAGGCTCCAAGTGGCCAGATGACTCACACAGACCAGATCCCTGCCCCTAAGAGCTAATAGTCCAGCTGGGGACAGTTAAATGGCCAGTGAGAAGAGTGTACCGGGAAAGGCTGGGGTCAGAGGAGCATCCTGGGGGCTCGGGCAGCAGAATGCTGAGTCAGAGTCAGATCCTCTCCTTGGGGCTTGGGGAGAAGGGGCAGAGGTAGAGGAAGGAGTCCCAGGCCAAGAGGGTGGCCTCTAGGAGGCCCAGAGTGGGAGAAAGGACCCCTGGAGAGGAAGGCAGGCTCATAGCAGACTGTCCGATAGGGCTCTTTAGTGCCAAGCCCTGCTCGATGGGCATTACATATATTAACTCAAAACAACCCTGACTGTCCCCATTTTAGGAAACGGAGGCACAGAGAAGTGAGCTTGCCCGGGGTCACACCCTAGGAATAGAGAGCCAGACTCAGCCCAGTGGTCTGGCTCCAAAACCTGTAACCACCCACTCCACCACCTCCAGGGAGAAGGAGAAGTTGGTCTGGTGGAGAACAGAGTGAGCTGGGAATAGGAAGGGGGCTGATGAGTGGGCGGGGGCTTGGGGCTGCTGCAGGCATAGGCTTCATGCTCCCAGGGGGCGGGAGGGGGTCCAGCCTGCACTGCTAAAGAGAGACCCCCTCCCCCAGCTGTGGCTGTGATCTCTGGAAACAGACACAGGGGTGAGCACTTTAGCTCAGCATGGGTGGGAGCGGTGAGGGGGAGGGATGGGCTGGGGGAAGAGCCTTGGCTGAGTGGTCCTGCCCGGCTGCCTCTGCTTCCTACCCCAGCTCCCCCTCCCACCAGCCCTGTGACACCCCCAGTCCTTCCCCAAGGCTGGCCTGGTATCTGTCCACACAGGGCAGAGGAGCCCTTCCTGCCCCAGGATGGCCTCTTTGGGGTCTCCTCCAGGCAAACATGCCCTCCTCCCAGGTGGCAGCCAGGTGGAGGCGTTGCTTCCTTTGCGTAGAGGAGGAGATGGAGGCTCAGGGAGTCGGGTAGCTTCCCAAAGCATCACAGGCTGTGAGGGCTGCAGCAAGTCTGGAGACTCCCCAAGGGATTTTGCAACAGAACTGACCACTGACTTTATGAAGCTTGTCTGTAGATAGAGAATTTAGGCCCAGTGAGCACTACAGGTTGGAATCGGGGGAGGAGGGTTTGGTGGGTCCACAGATGCGTCAGTTGGAACCTCACGCTGAAGCAGCAGCATGGGGTCTGCAGGCTGTGGGGGCTCCAGGGTGGACGATGACAGCCCCTGAGTGGTCTCATCCCACCCCAGTTCTGGACACAGCCGGGCAGGAGGAGTTCAGCGCCATGCGGGAGCAGTACATGCGCACGGGGGATGGCTTCCTCATCGTCTTCTCCGTCACCGACAAGGCCAGCTTCGAGCACGTGGACCGCTTCCACCAGCTCATCCTGCGTGTCAAGGACAGGTGAGGGTGCCGGGCAGGGCCTCGCCCCTGGCTCAGAGGGTCTCTGTCTGTCCCCGATTCCTGTAGATTTTCAGGTGAAAGCCGGGCACCGGGGCAGAGCTGAATCCTCCCCTCCCCACAGGGCTCCCTCTGGTCCCTCCACCACCTACCCTAGTTCTCCACGCAGCCAAACTGCTCCCAAGGCTTCAAGGGTCCACTCCCTCCCATCCCTCCTAAACCATCTCCTCAATCAAGGAATCATCAGCAACATCTTCGTTTTTTGAATCCAATTTAATCAAATTATATTATGTTCAGAGAAAAAATGAATTTTCTCTCCAGTATATATTGTAATTGGATAAATTGCATTTGACAGTAAGATTGATATGCTCCTAATTAAAGGCTCATTTTTCTCTTAGCATTATGTGAAGTAATTAAGTAATTTGGAGTCTGTTTTAAGCCCAACTGGTTTTGTTAGTTAATTGGATCTCAAAGAGGCAATGTAAAGAAAAGAAAAGAACAAACTAATAGGAAAACAGCAGGCTTTGAACAAATCCCAGCAAACATGAAAAAATCCATTGAACATTTATTCCAAAGGCAAAGTGTTAATAACTTTACCAGGTAAGGGAAGACACACACAGACACGTGAGGGCCCCAATAGCTTAATGTGGGGTAAGCCCCTAACATGTATGAATCTCAAAAGAGAAAACATAAATGACTCAGATGTGGGAAAATATCCAACTTTCTTGCTAATCAAATAAATACAAGGAAAAAGTGCCATTTTTTACCTGTCGAATTATAATTTTTTTAATGAAAATACCCAGTGCTATCAAAGATTCTGTGAGATTGACATTTCATCACTTTTGGGTGGCAATTTGGCCACGCATGTCAATAAGAATCTTTCAGGCAGACACGCCTCTCAACCCTGCACTTCCTCTCCTGGGAGCCATCCTAATTTTGCAGCTGCCATTTATCGAGAGCCAGCCATGTGCCAGACCCTGTCCTGGTGCTCTTCATGAGTTGTTGCTGATGCCGACAGCTGCCCTGCCTGGCCACTACATTAGAATGACCGAGAAATGGCCACCAGGTCTGGGGAGCCAACCCTGGGGCCAGAAGCTGCTGGGGTCTCCCCACTGGCCTTGCAACAGGCCTGAGGCTTCAAACCAAGGCAGCCAGCAGACCCCAGGCCCTTTCCCCTAAGCCCTTGCCCCTGTCTGGAAGAGAGGAGGGACGGGTCTCTGCAGCACCAGGCCCCTGGGGAGGCGCTGCGGGCTGTGCGCTGCCTGAGGTGTGGGGGTGGTGAGACCTCACAGAGCTGCTGTTCCTTTATTTCCCAGGGAGTCATTCCCGATGATCCTCGTGGCCAACAAGGTAGATCTGATGCACTTGAGGAAAATCACCAGGGAGCAAGGAAGAGAAATGGCAACCAAACACAATGTAGGTGTGTGTGTGTGTGTGTTGGGGTAAGGGGCTGTGTGACAGTCACCTGTCACTCCTGCAGTCCTGGTGTTTGGAAATGGCTCTCGGGCCTCCGAGGTAGCCAGCTGGATTCCACAGAGAGGGCATGTGATGGGAAGATATCTTGGGAAACAAGGCAGTAGACCAGAGAGAAGGCACCCTCTGTCAGTCATTAGAGGCTCTGATGTGGGGACCGGGTACCTTCAAAGTGGCCTGGAGGCCATGGTGCTCACCTGCCTCCTGGCCAAGGGCTGCTCAGTCCACTCACAGCTGATTCACTGCCTGACTGTGCAGAGTGGTTGGCTTCTGTCCGTTTCTCTGAGGCAGCACCTGGTTATGCTCAGAATCGTCGGGATGAGCGACTGCTCACTGAGCCCTGCTCTGTGCTAGGGACACACGCACAGCATCCCATCTGCTCCTCACAACCATGCCTGCGGCGGGTACCATTATCCCAGTCCAAACGGTGAAGATCTGCAGACATCTTTGTTTTTCCAGTTCATGATGATGCCCCTTTGCCCTCTGGACAATGCCAGGTGGGGTCTCCAGGCTTCTTCCCTGCTCCCAACACTGGCACAGTCTGTGCCTCTGGCCTCACAGGGCCAGCTGTGCATAGCTTCCCTCTGCCTGCTGGGAGGTTTGCTGCAAGGCTGCCCCCTCCCCTCAGCCAAGGGGGCCCAGCCCCGCAAAAGGAGGAGGGGCCCACTGAGAGCTAGCTCTGCTGTGCTCTGCCTTCTGTGTGCATTCGCTTACTCATCCAGTGGTGCTAGCCCTGGGAGACGGTCCCTGCCTCACGTGCTTACTTCCAGTCATGGGAGATAGACAATAAACAAAGTGCATTAGAGTGTGCAAAAGGTGACGTGTGCTGCGGAAACAAGCAAGTCAGGGACGGGGACAAGGAGTGTGGAGTGGAGGGAGACGCTTTTCCAAATAGTGTAGTTGGGGTCCATTTCAGCAGGACTCACAGGAGGTGGGGAATGAGCCGTACAGATATCTGGGGAAGAACATTCCAGCAGAGGCAGTGATCAGTGCAAAGGCCCTGAGGTGGGAGTGAGGAACCGTGCGGGAGCCAGTGTGGCTGGGGTGGGGGCAGCAGAAGGGGCAGCAGCAGGAAGCAAGGTCGGGCAGGTGGCTTAGGGCCTTATGAACTTTGATGGTGAGTGAGAAGGGAAACCACTGGCAGGTTTTGAGTGAGTAGTGACATGGTCTGACTTGGAGCTTCTCTCTGGAGGTTGCATCAAGGCGACAGTAGTCCATAGGAGACAAGGGTGAGAGCAGGGAGACCAGTTAGGGGCTGTGACAACCCCCTGCAGGTGACTTGCACCAGTGAGGTGCCCATGAGGGTGGTGAGAAGGGGATGCATTCTGCCTCTATTTCTAAGAGACCAACAGGATTTGCTCACAGATTGGATACAGGGTGAGAGAAGGAAAGGGTAGAGGACAATTCCAAGGTTTCGGGCATGAGCAGCTTACAGAAGACCGGAGTTCTGGTAACTGAGCAGGGACAGACTGCAGGAGCACGTGTGAGGGAAGGAGCGCAGCCTGGTTAGATCTCTCCAGTGTGCGGGGCCTGGTGGATAATCAAGGGAGCAGCAGGGCCGCGGTCAGACATGCCTGTCTGCAGGTAAATACTGCAGATCAACAGCCCGTAGCTAGAAGGCAAAGCCACGGAGCCCAAGGGAGACATGTAGCTAGGGAAGGGGGCCTGGGCTTGAGGCTGGGGGCATGTCAGTGTCACAGGTGTGGGGAGATGAAGAGCAAGCAGAAGAGGGACTGAGCGGTTAGTGATGTATGAGGACCAGAGCAGGGTCTCTTGGGAGCCGAGAAAGTGCATCAAGGAAACAGTGATTGCCCAAGGCAGGGGCTGCTCCCAAGTCTCGAGAAGAGGCCTGGGAACAGACCACTGGGTTTAATATTAGAAATGTGCCTTGTGCCTGACATCCTGGACAGAGGGGCCTGAGGAGCCATTTACCTTTCACAGTCCTGGGCTCCATATCATGACTGGTCCCTCAAATCTGAGGAGGGTTGGCTAAGGGCTTCCACAAACACCTTCTCCTGGCCCTCCCACAGCCCTGGGTGGGACTGCAGAGGGGGAAGGGTGCTGCAGAGGCAGCAGTAGCCCCATTGTGCAAATAAAAGGGAATGAGATACAGGAGGTTAAGTGACTTCCAGGGGACTCATGGCTGGGGAATACTGCCCCCTTCCTATCTAGAACCCAGGTCCCCAATCTCTTAGCCTGATGTTTCTCCTACAGCAGATGCTGCTGCCTCATTTATCATTTGACCAAATGACAGTGCAAGCTACTATCAATGACATTCTGATTTTACAGCTTATAAGGCGAGTTCCTCTTTAGCTGACCGTGATAGGTCACTCCCACCCGATGCAGGAAGGTGGCCTTTCCTAGCCCTTTGGTGGAGCTTAATGGTAGTATCATTTAGTGCAGGTTTCCCTTAGTTTCAGTCTTGTTACTACTGAAATCCTAGAATTCTAAGAACACAGATAATGCACATCAGTGATTCTTTAGCGGTAGAGGCAGGACCCCCTAGAAAGGTGGAGGGTGTCTGAGGACATGTCTGAGGGGTGACAGTACAACTCATGTACTTCTGAGTGATGGGGTGGGCCTGCAGGCAGCAGTGGTCTGAGACCCCTGGGGCCTGAGGACTTACTGAGCTGGCAGGAGGATAGGATGTGAAGGGGCTCCGGGTAGGTCCCGGCTCCAGCTGCAGGTGCCTTGCTGCTTCCTTTCTGGGAGTGCACAGGACAGCACGTTGTCCTGACTTCAGAGGGGCCTCTCAGAACTCTACCAGGCACTTATCAGGAGCACCTACCGCACCTGGACATGGTGTTCAACCTGGAAGAGGTCCCAAAGCTGAACTCAGCACCCCTCTCCTGTCCATGCAAGGCCAGCTGGGGAAGTGGAAAGTGTACCTAGTTCAATTCTTGGTTCTCTGCTGGCCGCTGTTGACCTTGGGTGAGCTCAGTCTCCCTATCTACAAAATGGAGATACTTGCTCACCTCAGAGGGTTAACAAGAGGATTAAATGAGGTCAGGGGCATTGAGACCTGAGAAGCCAGATGGCCTGCAATTGAACAGTCAGTGTTGGAGGGCAGTTTCCTTTCAATGTTATCAGAGGCTCAGATATTTGTCAAATGAATATTTCGAAGGTCTGAGCTCTGCCCTTTGTGCTCTGTCCCTTGTGTGTCTGTCAGCTACAACAAGACCTCTGCTTGAAGCCACAGTGATGTGTGACTATGTGGCCACATGCCATGAGAACTGATGGGAAAAGGCAGACTGTTTTATGCTCTGGGCAGTGATTTACAATATGTTCCTATAAAATAAAGTGTTGAACATTTTTATTTTCTTCACTGTGCTTTTCTTTTTCAAACGTATTATAATGAAAGGCACTGATTTTGTAATCAGAAAAAAGTCTAATCACAATCGGCGTATTCCATCACATCAGGGGAGACCTGTGTGTGTTTTCCCAAGCCCCCCACGTGTGAGGGATAAGCACTTCCTGCCGGTGTGGGGTCCCCGTGTTAGGAGAAGGTGAGCGCTCAGGAGTGCATCCTGACCTCATGGAGCCCTGTTCTCCTCCCTTTGCCAGCCCGAGGCTTAGTGTAGACACGGCCCTGGACACCCGGCATGTGGGGTCACCTCGGCCACATCTCCCCACGTGCTGCCGCCTTTCAGCCAAGTGATGACTCCTCAGTGTTAAATGTGCAAAAACCTTGTGTAGCATGGTACTGATAACACCAAGGTCCAGGGTTCAATCCTTGAACTGGCCAGCTGCCAAAAAAAACAAGACAAAACAGAAAACCTTGTATAAACATGGCTGAGCTCCCAGGCTCGTAGATCCAGACCAAACAAGAGCTGGGCTGAGGCAGGTTTGTGGGGGGTAAGGTTGAACCAGACTGGCCAGGGTCACTTGGGTGCAGAGTCCTGCTCACACATGGCCCAATCTCTCCAGCCTTTCCTGCCGAGTCCACTCTGAGTGGCCCAGAAAGAGGGCAGAAGTCACCCCAAGGTAGGAAAACAGACCTCAGAAAGAAAACAAATGGTGTCAGAATGTATTTTGGTTTGATAAATGAAACAATCTTTAGTCTTCAAGTATATAAAAAAGATCATTTTAATTCTATTTTTAGGGAACTATTAAATATCTCTGTGACTAGAGAACAGAAGGGAATTGGAAAAGCCATTAGTAAAACTTTCCAACCTTAAAGAGTAAGAAGCCACTAAATGAGGCTTGAGGCTACTGGGGGCCAGGGGTTCTGTGGGGGGCTGCAAAAGCGTCCAGAGCCCTTGTTCTGAGTGTAGCTTTAAGGGTGGCACAGGGCTTTGTGGGTCTCGGTGTCACTTTAACCAAGCTGAGCTCTGCCTTCCAGATTCCGTACATAGAAACCAGTGCCAAGGACCCACCTCTCAATGTGGACAAAGCCTTCCATGACCTCGTTAGAGTAATCAGGTGAGCGCTGCACACCTCCCTGGAAACTGGCCTCTGCAGGACGGACGGGCACCTAGCTGCAGCTCGTCTCAGAGGCCATGAGGCTGGGCAATTATGGGCCTGTTTGTGGATTTTGTGTTCCTCCTTCCATTTCTTTCCGCTGCCTTTTCCACCCATCTCTGCCCTCCCCCAACCACAGAGGGTTTGCGGGCAAAGCCTGCTGTCCACTGCTACGTGGCAGCACATGGCTTCCTGCCTGAGGTGTCAGCTCTGCAGCAGCTCAGGCTCCCAGGAAGGCAACTCCCTCCAGCCCTTCCTCTGTGTTCTCCCACCACACTGGAACTTTCACCATAGTACAGAGTAGATCTCTTTCCTCTTCCCCGCCCTTATAGCAGAGCATCCTTTGATATTTCCCCTGAACGGCCCACATTCTGAGTCGAGGGCTCAAATTTTAGAGGCATTGCACATGTCTCCTTTCCAGACCCGCTCGTCGTCAGCAATCCTGATGAATGGTCTTGTATATTCCTTTGCACAGTCAGGATCCAGACCTCAATCACCTTGTGCTCACAAGACTGAAACAGCCTCCTGGCTACATTCCCTGCCACCCATCTATCCCATTTCCCAAATCTTCAACGTGCAGAGCAGCCTAACCCATGGTTCTCAAACACCATGCACTGAGCGTGTGGCCTCTATGCTGCTGGTTATCTGTGAAATCAGACCCGGGGCTTGAACAGTGGGGGTCTCAAGGGCACTGTCCCATTTCCCACCACTCACCCCCTGCTGTACAACCCACTCCCCCCACACACACGCCCAACAACTTCATTTTCTCATTATTCCCCAGCGTAATGAGAAATATTGGCAGCCTTCGCTTTGTGTTTTTGCTGGCAGTTTGCACTCGTGACATGGTTTTCTCCCAGGCATTTTGCCTCCACTTAGAATGTACTACCACCACGTAGCAGGTGGTGATGTCTTGGTTTCAGACATAGGAAAAGAGAAAACATGTAAAAAGCTTTTGCACTCAGTTGACCTGTCATTTTATTTAAAATATGAAATACAGAAATAGAGGCCAACACTCTATAAAACATAAAACGCGTCGTAGCTTATGTTTTAAATAAATGTAGCCATAGCATAACGTCAGTGATCTCCATCAGTAGGATGATTTAGGTGTTCCCTGCTCTCCCTCCCCAGTTTCTTGGCCTCGAGACGCTATCCCTGCGGGCCCTCGTCCAGTGGCTAGGACAGCAGCATCTCTGCGTGTGTCCCCACCCCCTTCTTGTTCCCCCACCCCCACCCCACCAGAACAGGCCTCCCGGGCCCCAGATCCAGGGGTAGGGGAGGAGAGGGGCAGACAGGAAGCCAAGCCCATTCTGATTTTGTCTTTCCGTCCTTCACTGTTTCCAAAGGCAACAGATACCAGAGAAAAGCCAGAAGAAGAGGAAGAAAACCAAATGGCGGGGAGACCGGGCCACAGGCACCCACAAACTGCAGTGCGTGATCTTGTGACGGGTCCGAGGCCCTGGGCACAGTGACCATGAACCGGCCAGCCCTAGGGACCCCTCCTCTGCCTAACTGCACTGAAAACCTTTTCTAACCACGACCCTTGGCCTGAGGACTTGGCCCAGGAAGGGAGAAAGGGAGGGTGGCAGGGAGCAGACAGGTCTGGCTTTGCTGAGAGGGCACAGGCTTTCCCGTCTCTCACAAGAGACCAGGAAGCCACCAGAAACAGCAGCGTCCAGCCCCACATGTCTGTTCACCCGCGCCTGGCCCTCCTGGTGGGTGTGTTGTTTCTGTTAACTGCATAGTGTTGGTTTGATGTGGAAGTGTTTATCCACGTACAAAGTACGAAACAAGCCATGAACAAGCTTCTCCCCCTCGTCCCCAGTCCACAGTGTCTGAGCTTGGATGTCTTTTGTAGATTTTTAAATTATTTTCGTGATTATTATTTTATTAAAGGGGTCTGCACCCACTGCCTGGTGAAGTTTCAAGTCTTCAGCAGACCTTTCTGGTAACATGTCTGGAATATTGTTGTTGTTGTTGTTTTAACTGAGTTTTCCCAGCAGTGCCAAAACTCAACTCAGTATGAAAGTAGAGTGACTGAGGGGACAGAAGTGAATGGGAACTGTAGCTGGAGGCCTCAGGCCATGGGTGGAACCTGGAGGGAAACAGACCCTACTCATGGCCGAGAAACGGGAGAGAGGAGAGAGATGCTGACCCAGAGGGTTTTGCTATGGTTGAGAATGCAGACATCAGACAAGGGAATTTTATTTTGCTGAGGGAGTGGCTGGCACGAGCACGTCAGTTATGTAAGGGGTTTGCACTGTCCTGGAAGTGTATAGATGAGAGTGCGCCGACTGGCTCCTCAGAGTGTTCATCTGCTTTCTGGACGGCGTGGTTAAGCTCTGCGTTCTTCCAGCTGTGCGAGACGACCCTGGCTGCTCAGAACTGTCTCTTGCCACTCTCATGTCCCCTGTGCTGCCTGCTGCCTCTGGTAGACACACACTGATACGTCACAGTCACCTACAGTGGACACCACCCAGAAAACTAGTTCATGCTGAATTTTAACCGAAAGTGATTCAATACTGTTATCACTAACACAGCACCACGACCTGAAGCCATTCTCCCTTTGAGTCAACTGACTGCGACCTCTGGAAGGCCAGTAGATGAACAGACCCCTTCCAGAATGTGCTAAGTTTGTGTTAGGCTGCCTTTTTGGTACACGCTTTTACTATCCTCTCAGATCTCGACGATCATACGAGGGTACTTTTAAAAGTTTGTGTGAAAATGGAATTAAAGTTCAATACGAATCTTCCGTGAACTTTTTGAAGACCCCTTGTATGGAATCAGAGGAGAAAAGAAGGTTTGGTGATGGCGTGGCTCCATACACCTGTCCCTGCGTGTGGGGGACAGCCCCCCACTCGCTGACGGTGCCCACTTCCCTCCCGGTGCTGCTGGTGTGACTGGATTTCTTCTGGCCAGGGTGGGGGTGGGTGGCCAAGAGAAAGGTAAGGTGGCATGGCTAGTGACCATATTTTCCAGATGTTACAAATCAGGTCACTGTGCAAACCAGAACATCCCAGGCAGGTAGATGGAAGAAACCCAAGGAAAGTGAGCGCCCACCTGGACGCCAGGACATCTGGATTCTTCTCCAGTTCTGAAAGTGTGCTGAGTTCCCAACTTGGCAAGATCGCCAGCACTGACGAGGGCCCAGCCGAAGAGTGATTCTGCTGTAGAAGAAACAGCTGAGACTTCTGTTAGCTGGAAATCAAACTTCTTATTTGCCTAAAGGGCTCTATTTTCTATTCCTAAAAGGAAGGATGAGAGAGAGCATTCCAGATGAGGCGCTTCAGAGTTTCCCAAGAGCCTGTAACGTTAATGGATATTTTAGACACTAAAAGGACAAGGCTCTTTCCAATGCTTATGCTCCCTCAGTCACGTCTGCAGCAGGCACGTGTGCAATTTGATGGCAGCTGCAAACAGGAGGGGAGGAGGAGGAAGGGCTGGCAGGAGGAGGCGAGGATGACGAAGCTCTGCAGCAAGAGGGTGGTGGAGTAGGACAAGGAGCCCTGCACGCAGGGCAGCATCCAGTGCCAGGAGACTTCTGCAGGCACCAGCCCCACCAGCACACCCCTTGCCCACTGTGTTGCTGCAACTCCCCAGCTGCACTGGGGCCAGGGGGTGGTATTAGAAGCAGATCAGTTGACCCAGAACAAAGTCCTTAGCCATAAAAGTAACCAGACATAGGGGTTCCGACCACTCCTGCCCCCAAACAGAAGGGGTGACACATCTGTGCGTCTGTCCTGTGCTTGGCCCACAGCTTAACTCCACAACCAGGGGTGGGGATAATCTAGTTAAGGGCCGGCCTTCTGCAGCCTCGGCTGCTGGGTTCATGGTAAGCTTTCACCTCTCATGACTTCGTTTTCCACATAGGTGAGATGGGTAAATAATTTCTCATCTTTAGAAATGGGCCCTTGTGACAGAGGTGGCTTCCAGATAGGCCAGAGTACAGTGTACCCAGGTGCATCCCCAGTGCTCCTCCTCCGTTGTCATCTGGCGGGGTCAGTCTGGGAAAGCTGGCTGGGCCACACTACGCCATGACCGAGGAGCCCACTGGAACTTGTGGCTGTGCTGACATACTCATGTTCCCACTGGTGTTCCAAAGAATGGTGCGTCTCCCATCCCTGGAGCACACCCTTCCTGGGATCCCCTCACCCCACGCCTTCGCTGCCGTGTGCTCTCAGATCTCCTCTCCCTGTTCTGACACCCTCCTTAGCGGGCTCCTGTTCTTGTCTCCCCCAGCCATGCTCCCCACCAACCCCCAACAGCCTGGTCTCTGGCCACTCACTTCCCGTGCACTTTGGCACAGGCGGATGCCTGGGTGTTTTCTCTTAGGACTTTGTCCACTACCTTCTCATGGCACTTACTGTGGAGAGTGCCTGGTTGGCCAAGTGTGGCCTGTCTCACTCTGCCAGGAGACGTGACCCACTAACACGTGGCAATGCTGACCCAAAGGCCCCTCAGACGTGTTCCAGTAAATCCAGAGCCATGCAGACAGGTTCCCTCCATTAGCAGCCCATTGGGTTTGCAATTCCATGTTGGGTTTACTTAGAAGGAAAGATACTTGAATTGTTGAGCACCTGTGAGTGCCCAGCTTCTGTTACACAGTATTAACAGGTGGCCGTTGTCGTAAAATGAGAGTGATACCTGAAGAGCTCGATGATGCTTGAGCCTTTTGTGTAACTTTTTATTAAGTCTTTGTGTATCTTGACTCTTTAAATAAAGAGAAACACTTGTCTAACTTATTTCAATTCATTCAGTATTCCTAAAGTTCTCCTGAGAACATTGTAAGTTGTCACTGTTTTGCTCAGTACACCCACCTCCTACAGAGCATGACCTTGGTCCTAGCCAAACTTAAAGTAAGGAGCCTGCTGGTGGCTGTGAGGGGTGTCTCCTTCCTGCACGGGGCCAGAGGATGAAGGCAGGTTAGCAGAGCATTTAAAGGCACAGCCTCTTGATGCTGGGCAGACCTGGATTCCGGCGCTGTCCCCCACCTTTGTGTGCCTTAGAGCAACTGAACTGCTTTAGCCTTCAGCTGCCCTGCCTGTGAATGGGACAGTAGCACCTCCTAAGTAGCTCGAGGACCAAAACTAAATGTAGGAGCACGCATGAGGAGCCCAGAAGTGGTGCTCTTTGTACAGGACACCTATTGGGTTATCTGCCTGACGTTCCTTTTCATGGAAACTGCCCCTGCCCCCATCCACAGGGTTACAGTCTTTGTACGTGTGATTTTATTTCTTTATTGACTGAAACTGGTGGGTTCTTGAACAGCTGAGCTCCTCAGGTTCTCTTTTCCAAGGAATAGAAGCCAAACTTCCCACACCCTGGGCTGGGAGCAGAGAAGGCTGGTCTACAGACTGGAGGGGCGCTGGGGGCAGGGGCGTGATGTGGTAGACGGCTCAGGCCTGGCTTCCTGCTCATTCATTCATTCCACAAATATATATTGGGCCTGATAACCAAAAAGCTGCTCTAACCAGGTCAGCTAAATTATAGCGCCTTGGGAGATCTGGGATAAGTCAGTAGTCATGTCCACCTGTCCTGGAAAACGTTATCGTAAGACCATTTTCACTTAGAAGCAGACTTAATGGCACCAGAATACCATAAAATAACCTAGAATGCTTATCTTAGACCCCTGCATGTAGGATGTAACCTAGTGACAATTCCAAATCTATATGCAATGTAAAACCAATAGAAAACCTGGTAAAGTAATTAGGCAGGACAGAATATCTCTCTCTCTCCACCCCCCCACCCCTACCCTTTTGACCCTTCTCCCTTCTTGTAATTATGAAATGCTAAGCTCTGTGGTCCTATTTCTTTTTTTTTTTTTTTTTTTTTTTTTTTTTTTTTGTGACCGGTAAGGGGATTGCAACCCTTGGTGTGGTGTCACCCGCACCATGCTCAGCCAGTGAGCGCACCGGCCATTCCTATACAGGGTCCAAACCCACGGCGGGAGCGTCGCTGCGCTCCCAGCGCCGCACTCTCCCGAGTGCACCACGGGGTGTCCTATACAGGGTCCGAACCCGCGGCGGGAGTGTCGCTGCGCTCCCAGCGCCGCACTCTCCCGAGTGCACCACGGGGCCGGCCCAGTGTGGTCCTATTTCTAAAGAAGATAACCTGACTATGTGTCTCCCCAGTTGCAGTCATTGTATTGGCTCAATAAAGCCTTGTTCTATGTATTTGGCCTCAGTTTCTGTTTAGGCCAACAGGCTCTACCACATGCCAGGCATTGGGCTGGGGGCTGGGGATATGGTGGTGAATAGGGCAAAGGGTCTTCTGATGGTCAGATCTTTCTCCTCTAGTCTTATGTTTATTTCCTGTGGCTGTTATAACAAATTGCCCCAAACTTAGTGGCTTAAATCAGAAATTTATTCTCTCATAGTTCTAGAGGCCAGAAGTTCAAACTCCGTATCACTGGGCTGAAATCAAGGTGTCAATGGGGCCACACTCCCTCTGGAGGATCCAGAGGAGGATCCGCTGCTCACCTGTCCCAGCTCCCGGCAGCTGCTGGCATTCCTTGGCTTGTGCCACATCTCTCCAGTCTTCAAGGCCAACATCTTCAAGTGTCTCTTCTCCATCTTTGCACTGCCATCTATCTCTGTGTGTGTCAAATCTCCCTTCCTCTCAGCTGATGTTTCCTCCTTCACTGAGAAACGTGAAGCATCTGCTGAACAGAATTTCCACAGACCTCTTCCACCACCCCACCACCCGTCGGCATCTGCACCCACATGCTCTGCCTTCTTGGTTGTTACACGTGAACCGTCCATGCTCCTGGCTAAAGCCCAGCCCTTCTTTAGGGCACTAGAGCACACCAAGACATGACTCTGGCACTTCACCCCTCTTCTCTGTCATCAATTTTTCCCTCTACTAGATCTTACTCATCTTAAAACGAAACCTTTCTTTGACCCACTTCCTCTGCCAGATACCTCTTGCTTCCCTGCTGTCTTTTGCAGGAAACCATCTTAAAAG